GGTTCTGAAGTCACAAGAGTTGCTGCAGTGTTTCCTCAATTTTTTGGATGCAGCGTGGAGAAGAACTTGAAACCCAAATTCGCAATCCTTTCTTCCTCTCTTGGAGCCCGCCACACTGCTGAGCTGTTTGTCAGATTTCCACCAATATTTGGGTATTCCTACCAGAGGCTCACTGAACGTTTGAGTGTCCTGGAACAGCGTAATGAACAGGCAAAGTTGGCCAGCATAATGCCATTGACGGAGGCGAAGTTTCAGCGATTTCGGATGTCAAAAAGCGCAGATGGGAACCACAACAACACACATCATCTATACAAAGCAACGAGACAGCAAACAGCTGGCAAAACACATATGAACACAACCGCTGTTTCTTTTTGGTGGGAGACTTTGAGGTGGCCGTTTGGTACATCCATTGTGGTTATTGCTGCTTTTGTTAGCCAACCAACTTCATATGTGCAAATATAGATGCTCCACCAAAACGGTGCAACAGCAACTTGGTTCCCTTGGAGGATGGCCGGATCCAAAAGGAACGAATACCATTCAGGTCCTCATTCCCTCATTCTCTCATGCCTTCTACCAGCCGCAGAAAGACTCAGTCCCCCCCAAAAACACCTCAACGGTGCCCACCCCCGAACCGACGAACCCGATCCCACCATCCAACCGTGGCCGGCACTTCCGTGGAGGCGCTGGCCCAGGAGGCGCGCGAGCTGCAGGAACTGCAGCAGCGCTTGGAAAGCGGTTTCCAGGCGCCGCGCCGAGCACGGTGCACCGCACCGGTCCGCCGTTTTCGGGGTCGGCTGAGCGGCGAAGGGCTTTAAGATAGAGGGGACATCAAGTCAAGGCGTCCTATATTTAGGCGGAAGAAGGTGGATTTTGGGGTGACATGTGATTTTTGAAGTTTGCTTTTTGGTTGGGGCCCGCGTCGTTTGGAAAGGCCTGCCGGCCTGTGGGGTGCAAATCGAGATAATTGGGCCAAGTAGCAGAGCTGAAAGGGGAGGAAAGTTTGGTGGCTTGGTGAAGAAAAGGTCCTTTGCTCAGTCATCAGACTACTACCTTCCCATTCCCCAACCAGCCTTTTTAAGGTCAGTTCCACCCTGGTTTCCTGGGTGAAGACCCCTTGTCTCCTGGTGCTCGCACGGTGGCGCCGACCGTGACCCGACCATCCCTCCGTCCACCGTGACGGCGCCAGGAGCTGAATGGCCAGCGGCGGAGCGCCGATGGCTTGGAGCGCAGCTTGGAGCGACAACGGCAGAGCTTAGAGGCGAGGAAACTCTGGCGGCAGCGGCGCCGGCTTGAACTGAAAGCGGACGCGGCGAACGCAGGGGGAGTGTGAAGAGGAAGACGCGTCAAAAGCTCTCGGTGACCAGTTGAGGGAATTGCGAGATTCGGATGCCACGGCGGAACTCTTGAATCATTTCCAACAACAGGCAGTCGCAGGTCAGAAAAGTCCGTTTTGCAACCGGTGCCATACCCATCCTTAGGAAATCTTAGGAAGCATGTTCGGGAAAAACACACAGGCACTCGGCATCTGGCCCATCACCCGTCCTCACAAAGTGCACCCAAAAATTGGAGATGCACTCCTGAAAAGCAGTTGCTTTTCTGAGTGCAGGTCAACTCTAACTCTCTCTCTCTCTCCCCCTCCCCCCCCCGCCCCAACGACCTTGCTTTTGGGGGCTCCAAAAGGCCATCCGTGGCGAGAACGCCAGGCACGAGGGCACGAGGAAGTGGGGGGAGAGGGAGGGTCGGCCTTGCTGTGGCACCCCTGTGGATGAAAGTTGTGTAAAGAAAGAACGCAATGAAGTAAAAGAACCTGGAGGTTACAACTCTTTGAGGTGAAGCCTGGGATCAGGTGATGTATAGGTTAGGTAGGTGACAGGTTTGCGTTGATTGGGAGAACACTCTTTGAGGTACTTTTTTTTGATGCACTTGTTTCCTCCAACCATTTTTGACCCCAAACCAGTCGAAGTACGGTGAGGCTTTGAGAAACTCTCAGGCGGTGCAAGCTTCTCATCACAAAAAATACGGCCTCCTCAAAGACAATGGAAGACCTTTTTGATTTGCCTAAAGCATGGATATTCGGTGGACGACAACCTCCAGTATGGACATGCTGCTTTTGGTGGCCGTGGTGTCTGGGTGAATCGATTTTCCAAGTTACAGGTCACAATTGTACTCCCTGGCGCGCGCTCTCTCTCTCTCTCTCGCTCGTTTTATGCAGAAATACATGAAGAACATGTACATATAATCAGGGCGCTTGTGGATTCTGGTACTCTAGCAAAGACGATTTCTTCGGCACGACCCTGACTGACCAAAGATCCACGACCCTGACAGTCATAGCCGCCATGCAAATACTTTCACTGGGGCAGTCAGTTCTTGTTCTGGGGGAAGGAACCACAGCAGGGCACCGCGTTTTCTTTGGAAAAACCACCCAAAACAAAGCCTACCACGGTCGTGACCCCCGTAGAAAAAAGGAAGCTCGAACCTATGTGGGACTGTGGATTTGAAGAGGTTTCTCTGTCTTCGCCTTCCAATGCGGCGCACGGGTCCCGTGTTTCGGAACATCCGGACACATCGAACAGCTGTTTGTTTTGTTCCTATCGCTGCAGGCGCTGCACGGAGGACATCAGGAGCACAACTTAGTTTTGGCATAACTCCGGAAACTCACCCAGTGTAGAAGCTGACACTCTCAGTGTAGCAGCACCAGCCAGGTTTCAGACTCATCATTTGATTTGGCACCGGCGGTCAGGCTGCAGGCCCAAGTCTCAGACGTGAGGCAACGCTGCCAGGCGAAGAGCAACCAATGGGGGCCCAGTCGGGCTGGGATGAGACCACCGGGAGTGTGGGTGCCCGCGGGTGCCCAGATCTGGGGACAAGTTGCTCATTTTTCGAGGGTTTTAATGTGATTTTGTTGAAGAAATCAGTTCCGCGATGCCATGCGTGGCAATGTCCGTTTTCCATCACCGCCACCATCTCAAAGGAGCCCTCCCGGGCGGAAGCTCAGGGCGGCGGACCAGTATGTCCCAGTAAGGATCGCTAGCAGGTTGGAGGCCATTGCTAGTAGGTTATAGTTTAAATTTTCTCCCAGTATGTCCCAGTAGGGATAGTAAGGGTAAACAAGAACATCACTATAGTTTAGAGATGGAAAGGCCTGCGACCAGGCCCCATCATCATCCACTCTTAAGCCTTCGTAATGAGATAGACCCAAAAAATCGTATCAAAGACAAGTCATCTCAGTGGTCACCCTTTCCATACCCTTCCCACACCGATTCAAGAAGTGATGTGTGACCGAATTCCTTTTGTTGTTTTGATTTCCCTCATATTCCATCGTATACAATGACATCTGTTGAGGGTCTACAAACCACCAACTTGTGACCCCCCCATCAAGATCCTTTTTAACAGAGATGACACCTTGGCAGTCCAAGCTCAAATCCTCGAAATCGTCACATGAAGATTTATTATTGATGTTTTTTGCACGTCAATATATCACCCGAAAATGTCCAGTTCCGTCCTAGCAGGCCAAGAACCCTTATGTTTGTCAGGGATTTGAGTTTTAGGCTTAGGTCCAGAGTCCAGGTTTTCCCAACATGCGTGCTGCTTTTATGACCTCTGCCCCAGATGGTGGGAATGTCTAGATGAGTTCCCAACCTCCCGACATTTTGTTTTGTTGGGAATGTTTGCCCAACATGACCAGGTCTTCCCAAGATTTTTCCCCCTAAAATAGGTCTGTCAATCCTTTCCCTTGATGCACCCTCGTCCCTCCTCCGGCCACAGCTATCAACGTTCTCCCGGACGTCCGCTGCAGAACGTCCGCTGCAGAGCAACGGTCGATGCCGCGGAGGGCGCTCAGACGTTCGCCAGGAACAAGTGGCCAAGAACGCCTCTTTAAGCGGAGACCTTGCAGCCAAGCTCCAGGCACGTGCAAATCGTTCGCGAGCTCGTGTTCTTCTTTTTTTGGGGGGGAAAGCGGCGCAAGGCGAATCGAAGCATTTAGTAGCTCGTTCCTTCCGAAGTTTCCCCCATGCAGGATAACTAACTCGGCGCTCTTAAAGTCTAGTGAAGTGGGGGGTTCCGATAGACTGACCTGGAGAGAGGATGCCTCCTTTTGGACTTCCAAGTGGTATTTTCGGGAAGAAGGGATGAACCCAGTGTGCTTCAACCTCCATTTTGTTGGGCCGGGCGTGTCCTTTTCTAAAACCACATCAGAGGTGCAGGGAGCAGTCCCTGGTCTCAAAAGGAGATGTGCTTGTCCGATAATTGGATGCAATTGAAGAAGCTGGATTTGGATGCATTTCGCAGAGTCTTCTCTTGAATCTTGCCAGTTTCTTTAGTGGCTTCATCCGGATTTATTTTTCAGATTTTTTAGCTGCATGACAACCAGACTCAGCTCTTTGACATTTCTTGCGACTCCTGTTGGACTGGGTCACTCCACATGTTGGGGAGCGACCACGGTTGACGAACGACCTCGGCCACTCGACGGCAGGCTCGGGCCGAGGCGCATACTCAGGTAGCGCTGCTCCGCGCAGCGCTGGCACCGGCAGGTCTCCGCGACCCGGGATGGTGAAAGAGGTTGAAAGAGCATACCAAGTGTCTTTCTTGATTTTTTTAAAAAGATGTTCACCTACCAAAAAAGTGTTTCCAAACTACTAGACTAAGGTTCTTCTTTTTGTTTCCTGGAGAAGACTACGTTAATCTCCCTTTCCTGCGTGATTCCATCACCCAAGTAGTCGCCATACACCCATACAGCTTGTTCTGGTTCAGGCCCCTCAAGCAGCTATGTCCGTTCTACCTCACTCAGGATGTAGAAAGCATTTGCTTTCGGGGACATTCACTTACCACAAAACCACTGGTAAAGGAGGTTTCATTGACCAAGGCACCCTGGTTGTCCTTGTTTTGAGACCTTCTTTTCCGATGTCCCATAGACACCTGATACCGATGGGAATTCACTAACAAAACAGCATTATATTATTGTAGTATTATGCAAATATCCCATGAATGTAGAAACGCCATGAAGAGTAAATTGGATAGAAGAACGCCATTTACACTCTCTGAAATCACCTCGCAAGGATGACCATGAAATCCTATGCGAACAGGTGGTTTTCACTCCACTTCCATGATTTCAAGGAGTGTGAACATATTCTTCCAGGTTCCTTATGCAAATCCAAGTATTTGAGGAGTGCCGGATCCATGTGTCTCCACCACCCTGTGTTCTTCTCCGCAGGCTCCGACGCAGCAGCCTCCTTGGAGGAGGAGATCAAAATCTGCCGAGCACAGTGGCTTCACTGCAAGCAGCACGTGGTGAATGGACCAGCACGAGCTGGTGAAAACCAAACAAGATGATATACTAAGCTCCTCCACCACCTGCAATTGCACTTTGATGTGTGACATCCCAGGAGTATCATGAGTGTCTTCTTCTAAGAATAGGGCCTCACACCCATGATCTGGCCCCCAGAACCACCAAAGTCACCCATCTGTAGATCATCTTGGATCATTCCAGGAGTTCCTTCCAAGAAAACAAACAACAAGGGAAAAAGGGGGAACATTCCCTGCATGACAATCTTGGACAATCAAAGACCTGCAGAACAAGGAAACATTCTTCCTTTTTCCCTGCATTCCCCGCGCAGAACGGCCGCTGAGCCCATCTTGGTTTCGCCGCGTGCAGAGAAAGCATCCATCCGCCCGAGGATTCGCCAGGTCTTGGAGCAAAACGAAGCGCTGGAACGGCGCATCGCAGGAACGAGCATGTGAAGCGAAAAAGAGAATAAAGCGGAGTGGCGAGATCGGAGAAAGGATCTGAATCAGGCCGTTGTCCCCAAAATTGTCTCATAAACTCCCAGAGTCGCGTCGTAGACCACATTTTGTAAAGTTAGAAGTTGGAGGTGAAATGGTTTTCCACAGACTAAGAGAGGTAGCCAGTGACCTGAAAAAGGACCCGTAACCTGTGGTACTCAACTGGGATAGTCGAAGCAGTCGGGTCCTTCAACCTCTGTTGGGAAGGTCCGATCATCCACATAAGGTTCACATAAGGTCCGATGGGCCGCTTCCCCAGGGAGGGGGGTCACCCAGAGGTACCCACCAGATGGTCAGATCCACCGGCATGTGCAGGGTTTGTTTGTTGAAGTGACCTGACCCCAGTTGAGTGAATGACAGAGCGGTGACCCAGTCACTGGTGGCTTTTTGGTGGACCAAGAGTGGTGGCTTTGGTGACCTGCGACCTGAGCGAATAGACTTATAGACCGTGGGGGGGCCATTCTTTTCCATTTCGACTATCGACTCAGAAGGACTCTTTTCTCGTGTGGGAACGACGATCAGCGGGACGTCGACCGAGCGACAATCAGTTCTATGAAAAAGTGCATACCCGCCCAAGACTTCCACCATCTCCAGACCAACTGATTGTCCTCCTGATCACTTTCCAAGACTTCCGCTTTCCAAGTGGTTCACCCAGCTCCCCGTCTTTGCAGACGTATACCCATACCCTCAGGACGAACCAAGGTAATTACAGCATCCCATGCATAGGCACGAGTGAAAGAGAGGAACATCTCGAGGTGACCAGACGATCCATAGAGATGAACTGGATCCTTGTTTCTGTATACAGACAGCCAAATAAATAGAACAAACAGTAAATTACCACTAAAAAGTTTTCTGGAAACCGTGCCACTATCCATTTGGGGACCACTTTGGATTGATCTTTGGGCACTGAACAGTTGTAACTTTCTGGATCAATTCCATATTTTTTGCCTTTTTCATGTTCTTGGTGGTGTTGGAGTAGTGAGTAGTGGTGTTTCCATCGAGGCCATATTGACGGACAAGAGGACCCATTCATTAGATCATATAGTTTTGGTTTTCACCACCCAAATCCGGTTTTTCTTGAACATCCCCAGCTTTTTTTGGGGGGCTGAGCTATATTGCCAAAATGACAACCTCTGGATCCCAACCCAGTGGATCTGGTTTTGAGATTGGACATGGAACCCAGTGGATTGTCCTTCCTACACCACGAACCAATTCGAAACATCGCTTTAACTTATGCTTCTTGTGTTGCAAAAAAAGAAGAACACCAACGCCAGAGAGTCCCCCCCCCTTCCTTCGCCGCCCCGGCTTCGGCCGTTCCTGAGGCGTTACGATCCACAAGCCTTGTGGGGACACCGAATGGGATCGACCGAAACGGATGGGAACGCGTCCGACGCGGCCGGACGCGGGGTCGGTCGTTGGGCGCTTGGGCGCTGTTGAGCGGACCCGTTTCCTGGGTCCGTGACAGCGGACCTCTTCTGCAAGAGGAGGGGGGAAAGGCGCCGTTGATGTGGAGGTCGCCCTTTTCTTGTGGGTTTCAATGGGCAGTGAAGGTTCCGATTTCTCCGGTGAAAAATTGTGGGTCAAATGTCAGCGCCAAACTTCTCCGGCATTTGGACGAAACCCTGAGGTCGGATCCCTTCATGACCTTCTCCTGGTACTTGTACAAGACTTCAGGCGCGCGCGAACACCGCGCAGACACCGCATGCGCGCTAAGCAGCACGTTTTTGGGGCGAGGCTCGACCGCTGCGAGGCGACCTCAGAGCTTCGCAGTTTCAGAAGACTTGGCAGTGCTGCAAGTTCAGTGAGGGAATTTGCCCGTATGTATTTGGTGTCTCAAGGGACCATCCTGAGCAAATCAGTTGAGGGTTGTTTCGCAGATTGGCGATGAGGTGAAGATGAGGTGAACGACATCTTGGATATCGGGCTGACCGAACGAACGACTTTGCAGGACGACCTGCGCACTTTTTAAGTTTTCTGCTCGCCAATCCGCTGTGATAGCCTCGCCATGCTGCCCCTGAAGTATCATAGCAACGCCGGAGCAGCTTAAGAACATCTGGAGGCCCTGCTATCGCGGTCGGTTTGCAGAATTCTTGAACCAGTCCTTTCATCGGGAGTCACCAAAGCAAGACTTGTCTGGTCTTGTTTGAGCGGTTTCCATTTGTCAAAAGGTTCCATCTCGTTTCCAGTCATAGACCACATCTTTGTGGAATCCTGCTAAGAAGTATCCCAAAGATATTGCTGTTCCAGTGCCGCCCTTGAGATTCCTTGCCCCAAGGAACAGACGCAACGCGTCAACGGGCGTTTGTGAAAAATTCCGACCCAACGAGTCAACGGGCTAACCCTGATGCCTACAGATCCCAGCAGATCCCTACAGATCGACCCCTAGGTCATACAGTCTACTTGCCGTTGCGCACGCTCGACCGCGACCCTTGGCGATGCGCACAACAGGAACCTCCTGGTCACCCGACGCCACCCCGCTCTCTCCATCAGCTCGTGGAAATCCACGGTGCGCCAGGTGTGCATCCATCAGAGTGGCAGAATTGTGGTGCTGGCCAGGTGGGGACTGTGGAGGTGTGACACCTGGCGAGTGGTGGGGAGAGTGGAGAGTTCTGAGAGTGCTATTAAAAAATGCACACACATCTGGGGGTGCGTCCCAAATTTGTCACTTCAACTTTTCAACACGAAAAACCATGGACCATGACTGTGGAATAATCTGAGTTTTGGTCGATGTGGTTGGCTGTTTGGGACTGCTGATGGCTCCATTGAGTTGTGTTGTTGGCTGACCATTCACCACCAAGCAGACATGGCTGACCATCCAGCCTGTGGGAAGTCGATGTGTCCTTAATCTGGATGTGGTGTGGTAAGTGTACCAATTCAGGTCCTTTAGCTGTGATTTCACCCTTGCTCAAAGGCCCAAAGCTGAGTCTGAAGTAACTCCAAAACCTTCCCGCAAAGTCATGAAACACCCCTCTTAAAACCTCGAGATATGGCTGTGAGATGTTGTGGGTCCGGCTACCTGGGTTGACCAGGGAAAATGAACAGAATGGATGCCTTGGGGAACAAAGAGCCGCTCACCGAGTGCTCGGAGAGTGCTCTCCGCGCACGCGCGCGTCAGGGGAAGCCCTTCGATGAGCCCTTGGACCCACGGAAGGTGCCGGTGTTGGAGATGCCGGAGACGCCCAGAGTCGGAGATCGAGAGATCGGATGAAGGGTAACGAATCGGATAGAATGAATGGATGGGTGTACGACTGATATACCATTTCTTATACTGTATTTTTTTAAAACATCCTTTTTTTGAATCCTGTACAAAATGCTGTATCCTGATGGTTGTTGCTTTCTGGAGGTTGTGTTGGTAAGGCACCTCCAGGTGTTGGAGATATTTGTTTTGTGCGCAGGCACTGGGATGTTGGCATTCGCTTCTGCAGCTTCGATTTGGGGGTGAACTTCATCTTCTCGTCTAGAAAACCGACCTTACATTGTTGGGGTCTACCTGGAAACCCCGTGGTGGAAGTCCTGGCAATGGAGATCCTCTACATAGGAAGTGGCTTGGACTCGGGAAACATCCATTGGTTACTGGCTTGGACTGGGTTTCCAGGTGCAGCTGTTATTTCACCCAGAGGGGTCTAGGTCCACGTGACGCCCAAATCCGTGAGACTCAAACAACTCCAGAAACCAGTGTGTTGACCCTTCTGTTTGGAGGGGTCTTCGTCCTACGGTGTTCACATGTGGTGACCCCCCAGGTTCGCTTCGGCAAACTTCCAAGACCGCGCCTCCCCCCGTTCCGCGCGTGGAGAAGTTGATGAAGTTGCTGCGTTTTCTCAGGATTTGGGAGCACCTCTACCAACAGCTGAAGAGGATTGGCTCCATTTTCCATGCGCTCGAGGCTCTCTGCTTGGGTGGGCTGTTGGGGGTGGATTGCATCCTCAATGGATGATCTCATCCAGAAAAGTTCATCCTTCCCAGACACTCCATGAGACTGCCATATGACTCCCGATCATTTCAGGAGTCCCGGCATCTATGGCAGTCCCATGGAGTCTTTGGCAATTTGGGCTTGGAGCCTCCATTTTCCAGCACTCCTCTCGTGGATGCTTGGGGGTGGGCTCTTTTGTGGAGGCTTCTTGGATCGGTCGGACGTCGGGCGTCGGGCGACCGGGACCGGTCCGGAACATCGAGGAAGACTGGACGGAGTGCACTCCCTTTGGGCTCTATACACCAGGCAGTGGGAGAGAACCACGCAGTCCTACTACTGTTATGCCACCATGGGACCGGGAGAGGGACCGGGAGAGGGTGCGTTCGCAGCGCGACCGTTCGGACGTCCGACCGACCAAGACATCGGTGCAAAAGATCCATGATTTCATTCATTCCAAGACCACCTTCCTTCCATCCTCAAGGACTATCACCTTCCACTTTTCGCTGTTCAACTACTATACACCCGCATCTTCAATCTCTGCACCCCAAAGGCTAAGGATCTGCCGAACAGAAAGGACAAACGATCACCGTCTTCACGTCACTGGGTTTCACCGACCTCGGCTTCTAGGCGCGCGACAACTCCTGGGCCATCGACATGCGTCGCTCCCTGACGGAGGCACTGAGTGGGGGGTTCGCGGGGGTGGTCGGGTGGACTGGAGGTGAAGACTCCGAAACCTTGAGAAGTTCCTGGGAGGGAAAGGGGAAGACATGGCCGAAGCTTGGGGGTTTGGGGGTTTGGTGGCGGACTTTTTGGGGCTCCAGCTGTTGAGTTGGGTTGATGGTTTGAAGGAAAAGAACCTCCAGGTTAGACATGTGAAGTCTCCACCAATCCAAACTCTGGGATTTCTCCCTTTCCACCTCCAGACCAGTCTCTTCCGCTCATTCTTCCAAAAGCTGATCTCCATCTTCACGCCCCTTCACACATCTTCAGGATCGTCCATGGGACCTGGACTCTTTGATCAGATCTGAGAATGCATTGGCACGCACCAGATCCGGCCCTCGAGCTCCCGCGCACAGATCCGGGAGTAGTGTTACTACGTAGCGGATCAACATCAGC